ACTTTTCAATTGTTGGCAAAGCCTGTGACATTAGCCACCCGACAATATCAAACAGAAGAGAAAGATATACCTATCGTTTCCTCAATCGACTTCTACAGCAACGAAACGATCAAAACCACGTTGGTGAAACACAAAAACGTACTAACAAGGGAACGTTTGCACACTCACCCGACTGTCTCTCCTTATGCCACTCTCCTGCAGACAGAGCTTCTCTCCACAGACAGGCGCGCTGTTAACACTGTGTAGAATCACTTTATTTTTCGCAGTTGAAGAACCCTCTGCCGAGTGATCTTTGCAGGTCTGCCAGGTTTTACAACTTTTAACTATACTCTTAGGGTTGGTTTACTCTTCATATTGTTGAAAATACTCTATCTAGTTTAAAATAGGTTTACACTGAAATATTGACTCTCCATTTTTTACTGTGTAGTAGCACTCTCTGAAATGGGTGCTGAGGCAGATGTCCAGTAAGGAACAGATGTGGTCCAGGGTTAGGTTACTTCTAACTTCCAGTGTGCTGTCCTGTAAGAGACATAGGGCTCTATTTAATAATAATCATAATGCATCAGATTTTTATAGTGCCTTATCAGAGACCCTCAAAGCGCTTTACACTGGATACATCATTCATTCGCTCACACAGTCACACTTTGGTGGTGGTAAACTACCTTAGTAGTCACAGCTGCCCTGGGGCAGACTGACAGAAACGTGGCTGCCATTTTGTGCCTACGGCCTCTCCGACCACCACCACGCAACACTCACAATCATACACCAGTGGAGGACACACACTGGGAGCAAGGTGGGTTAAGTGTCTTGCCCAAGGAAACAACGGACAGACTTGGGATAGGGGGAATCGAACTGCCAACCCTCCAGTTATTGGACGACCGCTCTACCTCCTGAGCTACTGCTGCCCTATTTCTGTGCTTCGCCGGAGACGTGGCACAGGCGCAGCGTTAGTCCGGTCTGCCGCGCCAACTAGGCATTCCCAAGCCCAATTTGGTATTTTGGTGAGCCGCGCAGCCCGACGTAAGTATCCCCCCTCCCTAACTCAGCTCCTCCCAGCGGTGTAAGTCGTAGCAAGGGAGAAGAGAGGGCATGGAGTGGATTTAACACAGCCGAGACCTGTATTGACCAATAACATCAGCTCCTCTCCTCGCCTTTGAATCCGCCACTGGCAAGGCGTATTACTATTTCGTGAAGTAGTCAAAGAGATCAAGAGATGTCTGAAGACAGTAATGCCACACGATGGCGACAGAAGGTAGCCCCTCAACAAGTTTCACTGTAAACGCTGCAGAGGGCGTCCTTCACAGTCTCTCATATGAGCATAGATGGATTTGGTGTGTGTAATGTTGGACCCACTAGTAAGACAAACACCCTTTCCACAAATAAAGACACTCACATAAAGTTGCACATATTCAAACCTCACGTGACAAAGGTGGGCTGTGCGCAGAGATCAGATCATAAATTCCAATAATGGCATTAAAATCGGAACCATCTGTGCGTAAAGGACGTGTCATGCTCCGTGGCCGTGCTCTTTCTTTCATAGATGTTTGCATATAAAATAAATTTGGCTCACAAAACTGAATATTATAATATTCATATGTAGGCTTAAAGTAAATAACTCATCTGATCACTGAAACAAATCATCTGTTCAGCCGCTGCAGCAGGACGGGGAGAGGACACAGAGACATGTCCAGGTTGAACTGCGCAAGAAATAAGAGGAAGAGGAAGAAAGAAAAGGAGGGAAATGAATTACATATCTTGTTCACTTCATCATGTGTGTCTATTTACTAGATATTTAATTTCATTTAATGCGGTTTCAGCTGTGTTGATTCGGTCAGGTTGTGTGTCCAAATGCGTGCCAAATGCGCTCATCAGATCAGATATAGATCAGAATATATCTATATAGATCTAAATGTATGTGCTGACTCGTAGTTGTTGTTGATTATTTATTGCACTGAAATGTGCCTGACACTGTGGAAACCTGCCGGTGAGGCATCGGTGACGTACGCCAGTACGCTGCCGGTCTACCAAAATACCACTAGACCAGCTGCACTCTGCCCGTGCTGAAAGCTGACCAGGTTTGAATCGGCAAGCTTTCAGCACACTTTACACGCCACCACGGCCAGCTTGGTGGACCTCGGTGTGCCTCGGTCCATGAAAATACCAAACTGTCTGTACGCCGGGCTCCGCCAGACGAAAATACAACTGTGCGGGGTCCGCCACCCTCCGCCGCCTCACCGGCGAACGCGAAAATAGAGCCCAATGTGTTACTGCTTCGGGCTGCCTCTGTCGTCGGAATACTCGTGAAATGTCACATCATAGGAAACCATGGTTTCCTCTGGGTCCAGCCTGATGTCTTTGATTTTCTTGGCAAAGTCCTGTGTGTTTTTGATGTGGTGAGTGGTGTTGCCAACGAGAGGAGCTAAGATAGTGGCCAATTGTTTCGCCACATTGTAAGTGACTAAGTTAATGCTGCTGCTGATGGGTCTAAGGGGAGCCCCTTCCTTGTGTATTTTTGGTCATCCATAAATGCATGGGACTGTTTCCCCTGGGTATAGTCTATAATAGAGTGACTGGTTGGGGACTTCATCCTCTTCCAGCTGCTGAAGAACGCTGCTAACTTTCTTTTTGTAGCTGTTGGTAGGGTCCTGTTTGAGAGCCTCATAGGTAGCAGTATCACTAAGGAGGCTTGTTACCTTGTCATGGTAATCCCTAGTGTTGAGTACCACCATGCATCTCCCCTTATCTGCAGGCAAGATGGTTATGTTTTCATCTTTTTTGCAGTGATGCCAAGGCTCTTCTTTCCTTGATGGTCAGGTTGGAAGGAGGTGTTTTGGCAGGTTTTGCATTTGGCAGAAGTTGCTCTGCCTCTGTGACTGTCAGCTTGTAATTGCGGATGGCTGACTCCGTAGCTGTGATCTGGTCTACCACCAGGGGAGAAACAACACCTCACATGGAAGGGGTAGTTAACGACCCTATCAGGCTAACGACTCTCTGGATAATCACCCGGAAATGGGTTTCCACAACCCATTCACTCCAACTCCTCAGAGTCATTGTTTTCCCCTCCTCCAGTAAGATAAAATACCAGCTCCCCCCACAAGCTCTTTCAGAACTGAAGAAGCTTCTTGGATAAGCGGTGAAACATCTTCTCAACTCTACACAGTCCAGTTGCCAGATTTGGAAGATTTCAAGAAAAATTAGTATCCATGACAGCGGGTTTATTTTTTTTAATCATTGTAGACACACCTTCAGCAATTAATGCGTCCCAAACGGTAAGGTACATCCAGGCATGGCATATCAAAACATGTGTCTCTATTGTGCGACAGTGGGTATTACTTTTCTCTATCATTACTGTTTCCATGGCGATGCTAGACGCCAAAGAATGTCAAAAATTTGACTTTGACGTCTCGCCCTGTTGCCATACTTGGACGTAGAAGCATGATTAAAACATCAAAACATTGACACCGGACCTGTGGTCTCAAAAGTGTAGACAATGTGTATTAGTGTATACACACTATTGGGAAATTTTATATTTATTTTTTTATCACATCCTCCCCATTTCAGGGGTGTATGCCCTGCAACACACCCCCTGCACAAGGGGTGTGTTGCAGGGCATACGCACTGGGGCATACACAGTGAGGCAAAGTCTGTGTCACAAGTGAGCTGCAGGTGTACTGTCACCATAGAGATGATTCCCACTCAGCGCACAGGGCCCGCCCACCTGGTCTTGATTGACAGCTGTCTTCCAGACACCACAACACAGAGACAACCGGATTGCCTTGAGTTTAAGTCAGATTCATGACAAAGGCCCTAAATTATCAATGCTTTGACATATCAGCACCATATTTCACATGACCCCTTGTGACCCCTCTCTGAAGATACCAGCGGCCATCTTGGATGACCCCACCATCCCCAAACAGGAAGTAGCCTTTAACACATGAACTCTTCATGTATCTCCACCCAAAACATTGCCTAAATGTAAGTAAATCAGTGGCAAGCAGCAGCGAATCAGCAAACAGGCTTGCACATATCAAGATTTCCCTGAAATTTTCTCTTTTTTTTTTTGTTATTATAGCAATTAAAGCGGCCTGAAAGGTAAGGTGCATCCAGGCATGGCATTTATCAAAACATGCATCTCCATCGTGCGACGGTGGGTATTACTTGTCTCTATCATTACTGTTTCCACGATTAGGCTGAATGCCAAAAAGCGGCGAAAATTTCCCCATGTAAGTGGATGGGAGAGGGCGAGAAAAAAATCAGTTTTTTTCGCATGACTTTGTTGCCCCACCCTGTTGCCATACATTTCAAAGGTGTAGAGGGCTCGTTGATATCTGGTACGGTTTGGCCACAGTAACTGTTCAAATAGGGGTGCAAATGAGGATTTTATGCTTTTTTTAGAGTGACGACTCATAATTTTAGAGTGAAGAGTAGTGAACGTGTATTCCCAATTTTTCATTTCTAAATCACTGCCATGGCAACAATTTTCACTCGACACTCACAAATTATACATCAAAACATATGGAATCCCCCAGCTGGACAGAAAATGTGGACCTTGAGGCCGTGAGATGCTCACTTTTCAAGCTACGAGGTTTTGTTCGGGAGGAGGTACCTGTTTCACCTTCATCCACTGCAATTCAAAAAGAACACAAGTCCAGCTTGCAGGCAGGCACATATCAAAATTGCCCTGGAATTTCCTAGTTGTAATAATAATAATAATAATAATAATAATAATTATTATTATTATTATTATTGCAGGCCTTGTTGGTACGATTTCTGTGAGATATTTGAGCTTTTTCTCAAAAATTCATCAATTAAAACATCAGGTACAGCCTTCATTTTCATGTGCAAAGTAGGGGCGCTGCCATTGTTTTGAACGCCAGTTGTGCAAAGCTTGTCCCTGCATATTAACTGTAACTATGGGGGAGAGGGGGGTGGGCGGAGCCTACCGAAAGGTTATTACACACTGTTTGCTACTTCTTCCCTGGCTAATTGTTTCAGCTGTGATGAGGAGGGACACCTCGTCAAAGCCTGCCCGAACGGAGGGATGGCTGCTGGCACTGCCACCACAGAGACAGGGGGAGGAGGGACAGAACCAGGAGAGTAATTGTACTGAGGTGCGGCGGGAGAGTGAGAGTGGTGTTGGTGAAGGTGGGGAGATGGTGGCTGAGGAGACAGGTGAGTTGGGTGGAAGCACAGGGGGAGCAGGTGAGGGGAGTGAAAACTGAGAGGAGACAGGTAAGGTAGGTGAAAATAGAGATGTGATAGGTAAGGGTAGTGAGAGCAAACGGGAAACTTGTGAGGTGGAGGAAAACAAAAAGGAGGCAGGTGAGGTGGGTGGGACAGGTGAGGCAGGCAAGGTGGCAGGTGAAGTATGTGCGGGCAGTGCAGAGGCTGAGGCTGTTGTCATGAAGACCTGTGTGTCTGAGAGGGGGCCTGTTCCTGATAAGGGTTACCGTAAGTGTGAGAACGTGCCCAGTGCTGAGTGGGGGCAGTAAGGCTGGGCAGCTGTAGAGTCAGCTGACTGCGGCAAACAGCTGTGACAGTGACAGTTGGGTGTCTGATTGCAGTGAAGCATCTCACAGCCAGTTAAGTGACAGTCAGGAGAAAAAAATGCATCTTGAGAAAATGTTGAAGCCCTTCCTGCAGCAAACCAAAGGTGTGAAGGGCCGCGATCTGGAGCAGCATTTTCCAGATCTGCTCCCCTTCTATAACTCTGCAAAACAAGTTATTAAAAACAGAAACATCAGAACTCACTGATCAGGAGATATTTAGACAGATATATAAAAAAAAAAAACAGTTGGTTAAAGAACTCAGGTTTTAATGATGTTCTCAACATCTCCCTCATGGATTCTTTCAGGGTGGGGACGTTAAATGGGGCCAGAGAGTCGAAGAAAAGGGCACTGGTTTTTGACACAGCACGAATGAAGCATATTGATGTATTATTTTTGCAAGAAGTTAACAGTGATGAAAGTTATGAGGTAGACTGGAATAAAGAGTGGGAAGGGCAGGTGGTTTTAAGCCACAACACCACACTCAGTGGGGGAGTGGGCTTTCTGTTCTCCAGAGCTCTCACTCATTCTTCACTGGAGGTCAGGGTAGGTGTCTTTTAGCTAAGGCACAGTTTGAACATCAAACTCTGTTTTTTTTTTTTTAAATATTAATATCCAACCAATGATACAGAGAGGAGGAGCTTTCTAGAAAAGGTCAGTACTAAACTGAACAGCTGTGGCCTCAAGGACTTTTTATTCTTGGGTGGGGAGTATGAGTTTTTAGATTGTAACCATGCAGAGCCTCATCCAGCCTCCCAACACATTCTGAAGCAGCTGGTCCACTCTCATGGCCTTGTGGATGTGTGGAGATGGATGCACACAGACTGCAGACAGTACACATGCTCTCACCTTTGTTTTGTGTTATGGTGTTGTGAAGAATATTTTACCTAAGAGTGCGTACTGGCATTTTAATTCGGTTTTTACCTTTGATCAAGGTTTAAGAGAGGCTTTAAGTTAGTTGTGGACTTCTTTCAGACAAAGGAAAGCTGATTTTACATGTCTTAGGCAGTGGTGGGACCACAGAAAAGCAGAGATAAGGCTATTGTGCCAGCAGTATACTCTCAATGTCACAAGAGACACCTGTCAATCTATTAAAGACCTTGAGACTGAAATCATGGAATTGGAGACACATAGGGATTCCACAGGAAATCGAGGATATGTTGAAATCCTCATGTCCAAAAAAAATGGCTCCAGCCAACTTGCTAGATACCAAAGCACAGGGTGCACTGGTCCGGTCCCGGATTCAAAACATAACGGAGATGGATGCTCCCTCTAGCTTCTTCTTCTCCCTGGAAAAAAAGCATGGACAGAGGAAGGTAATACATTCTTTGTTGTCTGACACAGGAGAGGAACTAAGTGAGCCTGGCCAGATACAAAGGCAGTCTGTTGAGTTTTACTCGTCTCTCTTCACCAGTGAGTATGAGGAGAATGATACACTGTGCAAGGGGTTCTATGGTGAACTGCCTCAGGTCTCCACGGAGACCAACTCATGGCTGGAACAGCCCTTAAGGATGGAGGAGTTGCTCACCGCTCTGCAGAGCATAGAGGGATGGTGGTCTCCTGCATGCTCTGAAGTATTTAATAAAAGTCTGGCCTCAGGTTTTCTTCTGCTGTCCTGCTGTAGGGCTGTGGTAGCTCTTTTACCAAAAAAAGACAATCTGCAGGACATCATGAACTGGCGTCCCGTGTCTCTTCTGTGTACAGATTACAAGATCCTGTCCAAGGTTTTGGCTATCAGGCTGAGAGAAGCTATGGAGCAGGTCATCTGCCAGGACCAGACCTATTGTGCACCTGGCAGGTTCATGGTAGACAATGTCTGCCTGATTTGGGATGTTTTGGAGGTCTGCTGCTCACTGGGCATCAAGACTGGTCTCATTCCATTAGACCAGGAAAAGGCATTTGACCATGTTGAACACAGCCTCCTGTGGAAGATCATGGAGAGGTTTGGGTTCAGCACTGGTTTTATCACCAAGGTCCAGGTGTTGTACAGTAACATTGAGTGTATGCTAAAGTTCAATGGGAGTCTGTGTGCTCCTCTCAGGGTGCATAGAGGCATCCGGCAGGGCTGTGCTCTCCCTGGAACCCCTTTTCTGCAAAATACGCACAAGCATTGATGGCCTGATTTCACCTGGTTTTAACAAGAATATTGTTTTATCAGCTTACACTGATAGCGTCATTGTCCTAGTAAAAAATCAAAGGGATGTTGACATTTTAATTAAATTAACTGATGGTTTTAATACTTTGTCCACAGCAAGGGTGAACTGGAGAAAACCGAAGCAATGGTTAAAAGGAACTGGGCAGACATTATGGGAAAAGTAAATGGAAAACTTTATGCATGGAAATGGCTGCTCCCTGAGATGTCTTTTAGAGTTAGAGTTCTTGTTTTCAATAATCTTGTAGCCTCATTGCTGTGGCACCACCTGGCCTGTTTGGATGCCCCATCAGGTCTTTTATCCCAGATCCAGGAAAATATAGTAAACTTCTTTTGGGATGGGTTGCATTGAGTGCCACAGGGGGTGCTGTTTCTACGAGAGAGGAGGGGGGACAGGACCTCATCCACTTGTCGAGCAGAACTGCCACTTTTAGATTACAGTTTATAGAAAGGTTTTTGGCAGGACCAGCAGATTGAAGGAGTATGGCCGTAGGACCAAGCCAAACGATGCAGATCCCTTTCCTGAGGTCTAGGTGACCCCCCAGTTTAGAGAGGCAAGTGGGCCTCTCCTCAAAAAACAAAAAACTCAGACAGGAAGCTTTTCTACAAGAACTGTGTGAAGCTGTTGAACAGGAAAGGATTAAGTGGCAGAGCGCCCTCAGCATAGACAGCATGGAGGCAGCCTCAGTCTGGCGCTGCAGTGTCAAGTGCAGACTGAGGCTGGAGTTCAGGTTTTACAAAATTATTCATGGTTTGGAAATTTAAAAAAAATATTTGGTGCCATGAAAACATTCTTTGCACTAAGCTGCAGTTTGCACATCTTCTCTCTGAGTAGAACCTTAAGATTTATATACACTCACCGGCCACTTTATTAGGTACACCTGTCCAACTGCTCGTTAACACTTAATTTCTAATCAGCCAATCACACGGCGGCAACTTAGTGCATTTAGGCATGTAGACATGGTCAAGACAATCTCCTGCAGTTCAAACCGAGCATCAGTATGGGGAAGAAAGGTGATTTGAGTGACTTTGAACGTGGCATGGTTGTTGGTGCCAGAAGGGCTGGTCTGAGTATTTCAGAAACTGCTGATCTACTGGGATTTTCACGCACAACCATCTCTAGGGTTTACAGAGAATGGTCCGAAAAAGAAAAAATATCCAGTGAGTGGCAGTTCTGTGGGCGGAAATGCCTTGTTGATGCCAGAGGTCAGAGGAGAATGGCCAGACTGGTTCGAGCTGATAGAAAGGCAACAGTGACTCAAATAACCACCCGTTACAACCAAGGTAGGCAGAAGAGCATCTCTGAACGCACAGTATGTCGAACTTTGAGGCAGATGGGCTACAGCAGCAGAAGACCACACCGGGTGCCACTCCTTTCAGCTAAGAACAGGAAACTGAGGCTACAATTTGCACAAGCTCATCGAAATTGGACAATAGAAGATTGGAAAAACATTGCCTGGTCTGATGAGTCTCGATTTCTGCTGCGACATTCGGATGGTCGGGTCAGAATTTGGCGTCAACAACATGAAAGCATGGATCCATCCTGCCTTGTATCAACGGTTCAGGCTGGTGGTGGTGGTGTCATGGTTTGGGGAATATTTTCTTGGCACTCTTTGGGCCCCTTGGTACCAATTGAGCATTGTTGCAACGCCACAGCCTACCTGAGTATTGTTGCTGACCATGTCCATCCCTTTATGACCACAATGTACCCAACTTCTGATGGCTACTTTCAGCAGGTTAATGCGCCATGTCATAAAGCTGGAATCATCTCAGACTGGTTTCTTGAACATGACAATGAGTTCACTGTACTCAAATGGCCTCCACAGTCACCAGATCTCAATCCAATAGAGCATCTTTGGGATGTGGTGGAACGGGAGATTCGCATCATGGATGTGCAGCCGACAAATCTGCGGCAACTGTGTGATGCCATCATGTCAATATGGACCAAGCTCTCTGAGGAATGCTTCCAGCACCTTGTTGAATCTATGCCACGAAGAATTGAGGCAGTTCTGAAGGCAAAAGGGGGTCCAACCCGTTACTAGCATGGTGTACCTAATAAAGTGGCCGGTGAGTGTATATGATCAGTTTTATTTGTGTATTTGTAAACTAGCACTGTTTTGGCCACTGCAGCACTTTAGAGGAACTGGAAAGCGTATCTGACATGTAAATAAAGTATGTTTGAAAAATCTAAATCTTCTTCTTCTTCTTCTTCTTTATCCCAGACTTTACCAGGTTTCAACCTTCCTGTCCAGAAAAAGAATAAACCAGTAATTTTTGTCATATTTTTATCAACAAGCCCTACACTCTCAAAATGAATGTGTTAAAATCATACACATTTTTTGTGTTATTATATTTTAACATTTGTTATGTTATATTTACACATCCTGTGTTATTATCCTTGACACACTTTTGAGTTAATGCTATTTTAACAAATAAAATAGTTATCATGTGAATTAAACACAACATGTGTTAGCCACTGCTAGGTCAAAGAGGTTATTAATGAAAACACCTGCCAGGGTTACTTTTAACCAAGCAGTGGCTTTATTAATTGTCCTACTTTTGAATAATTCTGGAATCATCTTTTTTTATAAATTCTGTAACTTTTTTCTTTATTTATTTTTAATTTTTTGAGAGGGAGAAAGCCCCTCAGCAGGGGAATCAAACCTCCAAACACCCAGTCTCAGGGTGGACCACAAGGCCACTAAACTGTATTTGAGACCAGATTCTTGAGTAGCACGGTGCCCTGAAGACAGGAGAATACCTTTCCTCACACACAGACGTATGGTTCTCTTAA